CTAAGAAGAACCGAATTACAGTTTGTTGTGAGCGCCGTTTTATTTTGTATGGGGTTTCAATTCGGGTCTAAGAAGAACCGAATTACAGTTTGTTGTGAGAAGAACCGAATTACAGTTTGTTGTGAGGAAAAGTGGTAGTAATTAGTAGTAGTGATAGTAAATCTCTTAGCAGTTAAGCTTAGTTAGAAAGTTAGTACCAGCAGTTTTAGTAGCAGTGATTTTATAGTAGGAAAAGTAGCAGTAATTAGTAGTAGTAACAGTAAATCTCTTAGCAGTTAAGCTTAGTTAGGAAGTTGGTGCTAGCAGTTTTAGTGGTAGTGATTTTGTAATAGGAAAAGTAGTAATAATTAGTAGTGGTAACAGTAAATCTCTTAGCAGTCAAGCTTAGTCAGGAAGTTGGTACTAGTAGATTTAGTAACAGTGATTTTACAGTAGGAAAAGTAGCAGCAATCAGTAGTAGTAACAGTAAATCTCTTAGCAGTCAAGCTTAGTTAGGAAGTTAGTGCCAGTAGATTTAATAGCAGTGATTTTAGTAGTGGTATTTATGACAGTAAATCTAGGCTGCCCTATTTAAAAGATCAATTTAAGAGCTATGATTAGATCAGAGTTAGATGGTTGTGCCAGCAGTTTGGAAGCTGGGCCACACTAAAATGAAGGAATGCTGGGGTAAAGCGGCGCTAAGCAGAATCCGGTACTAGTGCGGTGCCAGCTGCTGGCACAATGGATTTTGCGCACACCAAACGCTGGCACCATTTTGGTGGGTATGTGCCACCAAAGTGCAAGTCCTGACCCTTAGGCCTAGATATAGTATAGTGAGATTTCTCTAGATATCTTATACAACCAGCCTTCTCTAGAAGAAGAGGGGAGAATACAATAATATACAGAATTCAGCGGTCTAACAGTAGGCGTAGCTTGTTCTGTGACATGTAGCTCGGCCAGCTGACGCGCTATAGCAGACTGGCTTATAGCTAGACCGGTCGTCCAGCTATCGTAGTTGCGGTCCTCAACGCTGCTGACTTCTCAAAGTCGGCGTCAATGTCTATGTCATTGAGAACCATCTCTCCCCTCTTCGCCGCAGCGATGCGCGCCTTTCTCATGTGCCACGTTTGCCGCTCCGTCACCCTTGTGATCCACCAGGTCCAGGCAGTGGACGCAATGCAGAGCCCCGTGACCGCCATCGCCACCGCGAACGACGTCGTGTACTTTGGAGCGTAGGCGGAACGGAAGATCTGCGGCCCGATGACGGTCCCGATCTGGCCGAGGGAGTTGACAAAGGAAATAGCGAAAGCTGACCCAGTGGCCCGGGAAGTGGTCTGCAGACGCCAGGGCCACATCGTCGAGAACCAGGCATTGGATGCGGACCCGGCTATTATAGTGGCGGCATACACGCCCCCGAGGTTGGGATACGCGTAGAGCACGGCGTAGCAGGCAAGAGTGGCGGTGAGGTATACAAGCGCCACCAGGGGATACGGCACGCCCTTCCTGTCTGTCAAGTAGCTGCTGACCAGGATAAGGATCATGGGTAATACCGCAGAGGGGATGGTTAGTAGTTGGCTCTCGGCGATCGACCTGTATTACACAATGTCAATCATATATGTTACTGCGTGTTGGGAGACGATCAACTTACACAAGTCCGAGGTTGGCTACAATCGTGGGCAGGTAGAACGAAAGCCCGGAACCGCCGATAGTCTTCGCCGCCCAGAGCAGCGTGAACCACCAGAGACGATGGTCCTTCAGAGCCTCCAGGATTTCGCCAAGGTTGAAATGAGCTTCGCTCGACCGAGGCGAGTTTGCTGGAAGCCGGGCTTGGAGGAATCTCTTTTCCCTGTCGGTGAGCCATGACGCTTGTTCGGGGACTGAGTATCAAAGCCTTGTAAGTATTGCGTTTGAGCCAGGCAAGGAAGCGGACTCGCTTACAGTCAGGAAAGATCCAATACAGCGCAATCCCGAATGCGATGGTAATCACGCCTTCGACAAGGAAGAACCTGCGAGTGTAGGTTGATTCTTCTGGTCATACCGTTGGAGAGGAGAAGACAACCAACCATTGCCAGCCCGACAAGCTACACCGCCCAGAAATCGTGTCGAAAGCGAATGCCAGTACAGCACTGATGACATTGGCGAAGAATTCGAAAGAGTCTATCGCCATATTAATATGGCTGTCAACACGAGGAGAGAGGCAGGTGGCCTACAGAAAATCAAGAAACGGATGGTCATCTCATCGGCGCGGTACCAGTATGTCAACTGCAAGATGATACCGGGAAACATGCCAGCTTCGCACTATTAAAGTATGATCAGCGACGCCAGGTGGGGACGACGGTCCAAGAAATAACTTACAAGGCCAAGGAAAAATCGAGCGACGTAAAGTCCCCCTTTGGATGTGACTGCAGCGTGGCAGGCCAGGGCGATACCCCAAGTTACCTAAGGAAGCCGTTCAGTCGCTGTCGGATTTCCGTGGTATGCTAGCGGACTTGCCATGATTCGCGACTGAAAACGCGAGGGAAGCATCTTCTTCATCATCAGGACGGACGGAATCTCGACAACGATAAAAGGGATCTATGCATCATGTTAACCTTTGCTACTGCCAACATGGGATTGGAAGCAGAAACATACGTAGTACACTGTGCTGACAAAGTTGTACTCGTCGCCAGTCATTTTTAGCTGGGTAAGGATATTTCGAGGAGTTCCACGGTTCATGACGCGAGCATTGGCAGCCTGGGCAAATTAGTTCTTGTCCTTCCTCTCATCATGTCAATCATCAAGAGCTCGCTCACATACATTGTTTGCATCAACGTTTTTTACCAGGAAAATGACGGCGCACAGCAACATGAGGTGCCAGTCCACCTTGCGCAGCAATTTCTTCTCCTCCTCGTAGGTCAGGAGGCCACGGTCTCTCATGCGTTCGTGATTGTGCCCAGTAATCTGGGTCGCGTCTTCCCCCTCGACAGGGCTCTGTCTCGGCTGAATATGCAACTCATCCTCCACGTGAGGCTCCTGCGCCGGCAGGGTAGTGATTTCGTCAGTCTTGGGCGCCATGATGAAGGGTGTAAACCCGCAAAGCGATGCGTGTCTGCGCGAAGATGGAAGGACTGTGAGTGGTGAACTCAACCACGAGATGGAAGAAATAGACCTGCTCGCATCCCTCACGAGCTAGATGAGGGACATGCTGTAGCGTGTGCAGAAAGATTGAAATGTATTAACCAGAGTTACAACAATGATACCTAAAAAGTGCAGACAGGACAGCCCTTGGCACTTGGTCCATGAACAAAGCGGTACCTAATCTGCAGGTTGTTCTTTCGGAACCAACAAAAGTAGGCAACACTACTCGTACAGGTGATCTGATGGGTGACATTGTGAGGCGGATGCTGGTTACGCGAGTGAGGAGCGGCACGGGGTTTTTACTGGGATGGCCCGGTCGCTTGCGAGAAACCAGATGCAAAAAGGACATGCAAGGGAGCTTTGGCCTGCACTGTTGGCAAGTCTCAGAGACCGAAGAGTGCATGCACTCCTTGCACAGCAAAATTGATGTGTCCCCCTGCAGATGTCAAAGGGTGGTGGGCCGTGGTGTTTGTTGGTGATCCCGACGAGGGTAATTATGCCGCTGGTGCAGCATCTAATCAGATCCATGCTTAATCAGATCCACGATTGATTAGATTACAAATACACTACTGAAATCAAATGGCCCATGTTACCTGTACGCGCAATTAATAAAAGGAGGTGCCCAGCCCCACGCGGGGGTCCGAACAAAATCTGACTGTGCATTTTGCTTTGCTTATTTGAGAATACCACCTCGAGTATTGTTCCTCCCCACATCTCCGCGAAGCTCCCGTCTATGCCGGATTCAAGGTTGTCACTTGTTCAGTTGGTCCGAGCTGTTCAATGGTAGGTAGTCCACGACACGAGACGTTTTTCTCTCTCTAGCGAATGCTACTGTACTTACTACTACTACTACTAACAAGGCACAACCTGTACCTCTCTCACAAGCATGCTGCATATACGAATTTCCTAGCCGCCGTAGCCATGCTGATCACTATTAGCTGATGGGACTCAACAAATGCCCGGTCAAGCTTTCAGCCCGCGGCTGGCGGACGCACCCCTCCAACTGCGAGTCGAGGCGATGCAGGGCCTTTATGCCACCACCCATGCTGTCCGCAGCGTAGCCTTTTGCCCTCAGCACGCTAGTAGCGACGCGGGCAGAGTCTCCGTCGTAGCAGATGATGAGCGAACGCTTGCCGCGTATCTGGGAGCAGATCTCCTCGCTTTCGGAACCTAGGCTAACCCCGAATTCACGCCACAGCGACGCCAAGAGTTTAGCGTTCGAGAAGGGACTCGGCCCGCCTGCCTGGACGAGCGGGAAGCTCACGGAACCAGGTAGGCTGAATTGATCGTAGTCTTCGGGCTGCCGCAGATCGACGATGACTGTGTCTGGTACAGGGCTCACAATCTTCTCCCAGCCTTGGCGTTCCTTGACTCGCCTCTTGGACAGGAAGAACAACAGATCTCTTGCCAGGACCATATCAAGCTGATAGAAGTCAGCCAGTGCTGCTGATGGTTCCTTTTCCCAGGACGAGTCATATCGGTATAGGTCAACTACAGTCAGCTCCTATAGTCTTATATTAGCACCATACTTGATAATAACCGCATAGATAAGAGATACTCACCGAGTTCTTGATAGCAGGGAATGTTTCCAGACCTAATTTGCTAAAGTACTCATCAATATACTGATACGGGAGATCACAGCATAGAGTGACACAGTGCATCTCGCCGTCCTCCCCTGTAAGCTTAGCCAAGGTGCCTTCCTGCTTTCGTTTCTCGATGAACTGGAACAATCCTTGGAGGTTGAAACCTGATGAAGGACCGCTTATGATGCCATTTCGGCAAAGCTTAAGGGACAGCGAGAATGAAGGGCGCGATTCGACCTCCTCTATGTGGTCAACAGCGGACCTCCAGGGAAAAGTCACGGGGGCCAACAGAGCTAGGGATCGCGGCCCTGGCACTCGGTCGCCTGCCGCCGTACATACACTATATTAAATCATGTTACTTTAGTACTGATACAGCTTAGGCAGAGCGAAAACATACCCAAGACGATAGACAGAGGATTTCTTCTCCTTGAAGAAGGTCCCCAATCCTGACATTGTTCCTAATTTTTAAGTAATGTCAGAGCCCGGGTGCTGCAGAAACACCCGTCAAATACTCCTAGGAGTGAGACCTACCAGATGTGCCCATCCCGGCACAAATCAGGTTGATCTCAGGCAGCTGCTCCAGAATCTGAGGGCCTGTCCACCGCACATGCGATTGCCAGTTCTTTGCTGCCCGGTTAGCAAACTGTAATACCAAAGGCCTGATATGATGGAAAAAAACCTCACAAGATCATTGCCATACTGGTCTGGGTTGACGACAGACTCGGACTTCTGTGCCCAGCGATATGCAGCACGAATACCTCCACGCTCATCATTCGGTTCCGGTTGGGAGGGCCCGCCAAACAAAGTACTTGCCGCGAGTGAGACGTCAGTAAGTCTGATAGTTTTGATAAATACCTTGGTCTAAATTGGTTGACTCACATGTTAAGACCGAAGAACTGCATCAGCCTTAGTTTAGCAGCGGTCGTCTTATTGCTCAGGAACGCATGTACATCGCTCAGGCCGTAGAGTACACGGGAGGCCATGGCCATAGAGATGACAGTAGATCCAGAGCTGTACTCCACGACAGTGTGAGTCTTGTCCGGAACGACACCATGCTCAAGCAGATTCAGTGCTTTGGTTCAACAGCAGGTCAGTAACGTTTGTTGTCCCGGGTTATACATCGTTCAGTACCTGGCATTGCTTTGACGTTATTTGCAGGATGCATGGTCATCATCTTAGCATATATGCGTACGCCATCTTGTCGATAAGGGTTGAGGCTGTCGGGTAGCTCCACGAGGGGCAGCAGTGGTGCCACATCGGGATTGAAGTAATCCTTGACCGAATAGGGGCCTTTGTAAACATTGAGATGGTTTCGCTCCTTCATTATGAGAAGACTGTCAACAGGAATAGCACAATACTAAAAGAGTTGGGTCAAGCTGATGTTCCAGTGTTGGCCGAAAGCAGAATGTTTGTTTAACGGCGAACGCGACTGGATATTTTGTGTGAGGGCGGTCTGCTGCTGGGGTAGTAATATCTTGAGGGTTTTTACAGTTTCCATAAGGAGACGTGAACGACCTCGACTAAATTCCCGCGTTCCGGGTACCTAAGTCTACAAAGAATCGTGTATATTGGACGCTGCTATTTCAAGAGGATCACCCTTGTCTCCAGTGGATGCGGCCGGTTGAGGTATGCACAGCTTCGGGTATGTTTCAACGCACTTGTGATCGGAGCGAGACTTTCACTTTCTGTGCACGTCATGCAAGTACCACCACCTTCGGGCCTAGGCTCTTGATCTGCCCAAGTTATTGTAGAGCATCAAAGCCTAAGCTGGGTAACTGCTTAGCACAGATGACGATAATCTGCATCCACGATCCTTTGGTTGCCTGAAAGAGGTCTTGGCACGCTGAGGTGGACATACTACTACCCTGATGTCCATGCTGATCTCGGCGGTGATGACCGTGTCTGTCCCAGCACGTTTCTCCACCGCTGCACATATCGCGGCAAAGGAGCAATAACGGCCCGGCAGTACATGGCCAATAACCTCAAATAAGCTCAACAGGGTGGCACATCCTGCATGTGCTCCGACCCATGGTACCCACTTGCTTGCATACGCGGGCGTCGAGGATAAATCGTGGGTCTTAAGGAGAAGTCAAAATTGTTTTGTCGCGCCATCTCAACACTTGACAGAGGTCGGTGAGACATCACTCTCGGTTCTTGGGTCTCTCTCCATGGTATATCTCGGGTCCCAGATTAACACAATGGGATCTGTCGTCGCTAGATGGTCAACAGCTCGAAGCCCTCATCTCTGTATTCTCTGCCGATTCTCACCAAACTTCTGCATCTGTAATGGACAAGCCGACCAGCACCGAGGCCCAAGCCTCACAATCTACAGGGGGTGTCATTGCAGACAACACCGACAGCAATCAGTCTTCCGGGACGCCGATGGAAGTGTCGAGCTCCGTTGGCGAGAAGAGCGAGGTACAGGTATTCAATGAGCAGACGAATTATGTCTCCAAACGCAAGATCATAACTGTAGGCAATCAGATCCCCAGAAGATTCCCACATGCTACGGCACACACCATCCTTTTGCACATGTTGACTAGCAGCAGATATTCCTGGCCTGTGCCAGCATCGACCTTGTGGCGCTCATGGACCAGACCACCCTCGCGGCCAGTTTGTCCATTGTCGGCAATGCCCTGCAAGCAGGGCAACAACTGTCTTGGCTAGCCAATGGCTACTTTATGTACGTTTTACTCGTCCCCATTATGAAAGCTCCTGCTCACCAACACGTCTGCATAGCACGTCCACGGTGGGGCAGCTCTTGTACGGCCGACTCTCAGACATCTGGTCGCGCAAGGTGATCCTCATGTTTGGCCTGGCAATTTTTGGCCTCGGTTCCCTGGCCTCCTCACTAGCTCAGACAGCTACGCAGCTCATCATCTTCCGTTGTTTCACTGGTCTAGGAGGCGGTGGACTCATGACGGTTGCACAGATGATCGTCAGCGACGTGGTCCCTCTACGTGAGAGAGGAAAATACCAAGGAATCTTGGTCAGTTGCACACTTCTCCGCTTATTCGCACACACCTTAGTCTACCTTCCCTACCGGGCATCGGTTCCGCTAGCAGATATCGCGCCCCCCTTCACATGGCTGTGCTGACGGTCTTGGCCCTGCAGGGTGCTGTCACTGCCTTGGCAAATGGAATAGGCCCCGTCATCGGCGGCGCTCTGTCCTCCAAGGGGCCCGACTCGTGGCGCTGGATCTTCCGCCTCAATCTACCTCTGACGGTGCTGTCCACTCTATGCGCACTGTTCTTCATGCCGTTGAAGAAGGTGACGGCCGACTGGAGAGTGTGAGTCGAACCCCACGGGCCGCATGAGGCAGAGGCTGACCACCCACACACCCCAATGCAGGAAGTTTGGAGCCATTGACTTTGTCGGCATTTCCTTGGCTCTGGCCGGCACCACCAGCTTAATGCTTGGTTTGACCTGGGGCGGCGGCGAGTACCAATGGGCCTCAGCAGCCGTTCTCGTGAGCCTCCTCGTAGGCCTTGCCATTTGCGTCGCTTTCGTCCTGTGGCAGTGGAAGGGGCCCAAGTACCCGTTGGTACCTTGTGAGCTCCGACTTTTGCCCCATTGAAATGCATAGTGTACTGATGATTATTCCCTCCGAGGGGCGCAGTGGACATCTTTCGCTCCCGCATGACGACGGGTGCCAGCATCACCATGGCCATCAACGGGTGGAACTTTGTCGTGCAGGTCTACTACATTCCCACCTTCTACCAGCTCGTCTACAACTATGGCGCAACTAGGGCCGGCGTCATGCTGCTCCCCATCACACTGGTGCAGACCGCAAGCAGCACGCTCTCCGGTCTCGTTGTTCACTGGGTGGGGAGGTATCGTGAGTGCATCTTGTTCGGCTGGCTCTGCTGGGCCACTGGCTTGGGCCTCATGTCCACTCTTGATGAGACTTCAGGCCTGGCAAAGCAAATCGGTTACTCCTTGATCATCGGCGTGGGAGTTGGAAACACTCTACAGCCGTAAGTTTTAGAAACTCTTCTGTAATGTGCTTTGCTGATTCGATCGAGTCAGGGCCCTTGTCGCAATCCAGGCAGGAGTACCAAGAAAAGATATGGCTGTTGTCACATCTTTCAGAAAGCAAGTATCAGTCACCTCCAGATAAATCGTTTTTTTATTATGAGTCTGACTAATGGCATGCAATAGCTTTGTTCGAAATCTTGGTGCCACATTTGGGCTTGCAATCTGCGGCACGATTGTGTAAGTCACTACCTATTTCCGATGAAGACTAGTTTGCTGACGCAATGCCAAGAAACAACATTGTTAAAAGCTCGATCAGCAGCTTGGACTTGGACACAAAACAGCGTGATTCCCTGCTCCGTAACCCACAGCGATATATATCAACGCTACCCGTTGAAGAGGCACGACGTATTAGCGCCATCCTCTCGCCCGCCTACCAGCGGTCTTTCAGAGTCATTTTTGAGCTTGGTGCGGGTTTGGCAGCTGCAGCATTCTTCGTAGCATTCTTTCTGATGCCGCATATTGACTTGACCCGGCCTGATGATCAAAAGCTAAAGGAAAAGGGCCGGAAAATGCCCCTCAAGGAGAAGCCAGCGGCAGCTCCATGATCCATGCATGCAAGAAAACTTGATTTCTCGTATCATTCTACTGGATGAAGAAGACAAGCAACGTGGGGGGGCTACAGAAGAAGCTAGGGCTATAGACAAGAAGATGAAAGGAAAAAGAAGTTGTGGAGCTGAGACGGAATTGGCATGATTGCTGCCTAGACGGCTTAATACTACACTACACCGATTATGACCCTCACAAACATAATGATATTGAGGGGCGACAAGGTGCTGCCGCGGTTGTATTTGCAAGTATTCAGCATAGGGGTGCTGCCAAAATCTTGAACCTAGGCAAGCTATGGTGAAGAAATTGCTCTTTGCGGTTGTTAGCAGATACACCCGAAACGCCGAGATTGAATGATGTAAACCAGGGAAAGAGTGCAAAAGAACACATCAAGATTACCTGCATGACATAAAGCTGCAAGATAATTTTATGAGGTAATTAGATGCAGTAATCACACCCTGCCACATATGAGCTCCCGTCCATAGCTGTCGTAAACCGAGAAGTCCGACCAGGTACTTTGCTGACAGGTACCCGTGTACCAGGTAACCCGGATGGGGCAGGTTGCAATCAATCTTCATAAAAGTATCAGTGGAGCTAGATCCGGGATGTTCGTGATCATCGTGAGTTGTTGGTTTAATCCCTCAGTAGCACCCAGATGCAGACTTGGAAGGAAGCGACGTGATGATGCAGCAGCAGTGTACAGCCGCGCATGCAGGATAGTCCACTTCAATGTTGTCGGTCTGCCACTTCGACATGGACGACCAGAAAGGTTCTCACCGATCTCGGAGTCATGAGTCTCTTCCCTGTAACCTCTGGGTCTTGTTGAGCTACATGGTGAAGTAGCACACCCTCGAGAAGATTGCAATGCTACCTGCATCAATGCCTCACAGTCTCAACCATCTCCCAATATGCCTTGCCAGATCCCTTCAATCGTCTTGGCCACCGTTTGGCTCTGCTCTAGCTTCGTGGCTGCTAGTCCTCAAAAACCGCTTCTGAAAGACTTTGACGCGTTGGGCGCCTGGTATGATGAAGTAGCTTCCATCAACACCACGTCTAATCCACAAGATGTCGAGAAAGCCAAGAACACCTCCATCGCCATTGTTGGTGCTGGCATCACCGGTCTAGCCACTGCCCTGATGCTAGACAGTGTAGGTTTGCGCAATTGGGAGATACTCGAGGCGAGCCACCAGGTTGGTGGACGCCTAAGAACCCTATACGTCGGCGGCACCCACGAATGGGCAGAGATGGGCCCCATGCGCCTCCCTTATAAGATCAAGTACAAAAGCGACAATGCGACGCTTGAGTACACCGACCATGCAATGACCTTTCAGCTGGCTGACTGGATCAATGAGCTGAACAAAGACAGCCAGGATGACCTCCAGGTTAACTTCATCCCCTGGATCCAACATTCGCCCAACGAGCTTCTGGCTCTTGGCACGGGCAGACATCCGGATGGCAGAATCCCCACGCGTGCCGAGATCGCCGCCAACTCCAGCCTTGGCAAGCCAGCACCGATGGACACGCAGGAGTACAAAAACACCAAGGCAAGGATGAGCAGCATTCTTGCAAACGAGAAAACGCTCAGAGAGATCCAGCAGGACGTGTGGAGAGTACACAGCCGCGTCATGAAAGAAGGGCTCGACGACATCAGCCAGCAAAACATGTTGCATAACATCTGGAACGTGAGCCCCGAGGTTGCAGCCGCCATCCATGGCGCGACTGACTATGACGTCTTCTGGGATGAGATGCATCACAACTCGAACCTGGCGCAGGATGGCAGCAAGGGCGCTCTGGGAGAGACGGAGTGGCGGTGCGTGGATGGAGGCTTCAGTCGCTTCTCAACGGCCATTCTTCCACACGTCCGAGACCGCCTTATCCTGAACCGCCAGGTCCGAGGGATCGAAGAAATCAGGAATGCACAAGGCAACACCACAGGCACGAGGGTATCCTGGGTCGACGTTGACGTCAACAGAACCCAGACTAAGCCCCAGCCTCAACAGACCAAATCCTATGACTACACCATGCTCGCTGTCCCCTTCACCATGACACGCATGATGAGCCTGCCGTCCTTCTCACCAACCCTCTCGTGGGCCATGGCCGAGCGCGGCCTCCGCTTCAAAGACGCCTGCAAGGTCGCGCTCCTCTTCAGCGAACGCTTCTGGGAGCACGGCGAGCGCCCCATCTTCGGCGGCTACTCGACCCCTCCCGATGCCGCCGTCGGCGCCCTCTACTACCCGGTCTACGGCCTGAACGAGACGGGCCGCCCGGGCCTCATTCTGCACTACCGCGGCGGCGACTGGAGCAGCCGCCTTACGAGCCTCAGCGACGAGCAGCACGTCGGCATGGTCCTCGACGCCGTAGCCTCGCTGCACGGCGAAGGGGTGCGCGACCTGTACACAGGTCACTTCGAGCGCCTGTGCTGGCTCGACGAGCCCTTTGTCGCAACGGCGTGGACGCGCCCGGACGTTGCGCAGCACGCGCTCTTCATCTCGGCGTACCACCGGACCGAGGCCAACGTCATTGTGCTCGGCGAGCACACGGCGCCCACGCACGCCTGGGTCAGCTCCTCGCTGTACTCGGCCGTGCGTGGCGCCGTGCAGCTGCTGCTCGAGGTCGGGCTGATCGACGAGGCGAAGGAGCTCAACCAGCGGTGGATGGGGCGGTGGACACATGCGGAGTAGGAGGAGGGAAGACTTTGCACTCAAGCTATGTGCAGCGGTCCGTTTCCATCGAGATTCTAACGAAGATGGGTTCGACAAGGTAGATAGTCTAGTTCACGTCTTCATCCTATGTAAGAGTGGACGTATACATACCTAGACGTGTCGGTGTATGTCACTGAGTAAGCCCCTACGCGGCGCGATTAGTTTGACTTTTTAACTTCGTTCGTAATGCCCTGTCGGTTGGGCTCCAGCGGTATTGACTTGAAGGCGGAGCAACTTGATGCTGCTCGTGCGAGCAACAAACAACCAATGAAAACTGGTCCACTCAGTGCTGTGATACGGAGAGCTGCTGCAGCCAACAACATAAACAGGGACTTAGGCACCATGATTATCAATTTCCGTGAGGAAATCTTCCGAATCATCCTCGGCTGGCTGGACAATCCAGACCTGCGGCTCGCAGCACTGGCCTGCAAAGGCTTCAAGGCATTTACGATGCCACTCCTCTACTCCAGGATCGAATGGCGATGGGACACGGGAAATAGTAAATTCACCAATTACGCTCTTTCTCAGAACTATTTTATCGCGTTCCGAGCTAGGAGAGTACGTGTGAGGAGTCAAACTCCTTGGAACAGGCCTGTGGCTTTTGATTCTGGCATGGGGGGGGTCCAACACGGAAGAATCATCATCCTAGAGTAGGTAATAATGTCCTAGAGTAGGTAATAATGCTGCGTGTGTGCTTAATCGCGTGACTATCGGTCATAAATGAGCGTAATAATCTTAAAATAGACTAAACCCGCCAAAATTGTTGATACCTAAGTCCGCTTGGCAGATTTCCGAGTTTTATCCTATCCCATTTCCTGCCTCCTCCTGCTCCCAAGAATAAGTAACAGCTGCTTTTCTTCTCATCGTCCCGGTACCAATGCCCTCAGGAAGCCCGCTTTCCACAGAAGTCGTGCTACAACATAATGTCCCAACCTAGGACTGTCATCATCGTCGGCGGTGCGTGCTGCTAAACCCCTCCAAATTCCGTGTCATTGTTTTAATCGTATGCTATAGCTGGAATATTTGGGCTCTCATTGGCTTTATCCTTGCGCCTCAAAGGTGACTACATGACTACGATCCTTCGTCCACACCATAACACCGGCTGATGATTCAACCAGGCTACGAAGTCACAGTTTTCGATCAATGTGATTACAATCAGTCTAGCTACGACCCTGATCACCCTCTCAATGAACAGGCGGCGTCGGTGGACCATAACAAGATTGTAAGCTTCAAAGAACTCCCAAGGCCCCCTTATTTCCTTCGGTTCGTGTCCTGATACGTGTTCGTGCTTGAAGCTGCGGCCATCATATGGAACCAAGATCCATTACCAGCGGTTGGCGCTGGAGAGTCGTGAAGAATGGCTGAAAATGAACAAAGATTCTGGTAGCGAACTCTTTGTTACTTGCGGCATGCTGCGGGTCCAGCCGTCGGACGAACTGGGGCAACTGGAGAAGGAGACTCTTGCGAGTATGGAGAGAGACGGTCTTCGTTATGCGCAGTTTGTCAAGAGCGACCCAAATGATATCCAACGTGCTGCGAAGCTCGGCTGGAAATCCAAGTTGCTTGATTTCGGCATTCCAGGCGAGAGCGGCAAGTCGTTCGAAGCCGTATTGGACTCGCTGTCTGGATTCGTCAAATGCAGTGAGGCTTGCGCCTACCTCCAAAGTAAGGCATCGTCCCATGGCGTCAGGTTCCAGTTCGGGCAGAAGGCGGGACAGTGCGAATCTTTGGTCCTCGATGAAGATCTAAGCTCCGGGAAAAGTAGTGCACGCAGAGGTGTCGGTATCAGGACGAGAGACGGCACCGTTCACCGGGGCGACACTATCGTTATTGCCGGTAAGATCTTGCCACAAGTGATGTTCTACGGGGCGCTAATCATGTCCAGCTGGATCATTCTCGACCCAGACACTGCCTGACTTGTCATACCACATCGAGTCATCCGGAGGCAGCATAGCCACAGTCAAGGTCGACAGGTCTGAGAGAGAGCTGTGGGATAAGTACTCCCCAGAGAACTTTCCCGTGTTGACGTGGAAAAGCGCCCCTCGCAACAACATCGGAAAAGACACGGGTAGTGTGTACGTGTTTCCTAGGACTGAGGAAGGGCTTATCAAGATTGGCTACAGAGGTATCAAGGTCAGTGACCTCCTAGAACAGCCGATCCTGAGACATGAAGACGAAGCCGACAACTCGACAGTTTACGAACTTTGTGCCAGCGCCTGAGGGTACACCTTTCATGCAAGACGGACAATGGTCGATTCCTCTCCCTTCGGCTCAGTCCAAGTCACTCCCGGGGCCTGCCGTTGATGCAATCCGCCAATTTGTGTCCATCTTCCTCCCTGAGCTTGCGGACAGACCATTTCATTCGACCAAGCTCTGCTGGTACACTGATACCTTGGACAACTCGTTTCTTGTAGGCCACTTAAACGATCTGCTAGCAATTAGTCAGCCAGGCCGCAATACTAACTACAGCCTCTGCGTTAGATTGACTATGTCCCAGCTTACGCGGACCGATCGGTGTTTGTCTGCACTGGCGGGAGTGGACACGGGGCAAAGTTCCTCCCTGTTCTCGGGCAGGTATGAACCCCACGCATACTGTTTTCCATTCTCGAACAGGAACTTACTCCGAGGTGCATCATGCAGCACGCTGCCGACATCTTTGAGAACGGTGCTCGGAGCACATCACCCATGTATCCCCACTGGCGTTGGCGCGACGACCAGCCGAGGGGAAACGGACTGGAGGAGGGCCCTGCAGGACCTAGAAACCTGCAGGGTGGAGGTGTGCAGGTCATAGAGGGGTATGAGGGGGGATCCGTTTCACACGCCTAGGTACTTCATATGTCTGTACCGAACTGTTCGCTCTGTAGATTTCCTGCCTGATCGTTGTGCTGCGGCCACTTTAAGGCTGATCCCTGCTAGCCTCGGTAGCCGCCAACAGGTCTACGAGTACTGATGTTAGTGAAGATGAGCGCCATGGCCGGCACCGCCCGTCATTCACAGTGGAGGCTAGACTGTATGCAAGTTTGGTGGGCTTTGGCACCTTGAGGGATATCTCTCCCACCCGGATAGCTTTATTCAAGTCACCATGATCGGAAACACGCACTTACACAAGTGTAGCTTCGGCTGCCTTAATTATTGGCATCCTTTGTGCCGTCTGTTGCTAAGGTACGAGACTACCTCCCGTCTATCTTGAGTCAACACAGTGCCTCGAAGCCATCAGCTGCGGCCATGGGCCTGATCATCAGACTTGTTGCCTTTTTGATGGTGTTGCCATTTGGTGCACCCCAAATCACATCAACCGGCTCGACGGTGCTTCTGAACAATATCCCATACTACATCAGCCCTCACACCGTTGGCAATGCCTCTCTACAGCCGACTGTTCTCGATGATATAAAGGCAGCCTTTGGCTTCATACCTGTATCTGTCTTGACGGCTGGGACACAGCTGGCTGATCTTGTAGACATCTTCTCAGCTTGGAATGAGGCCGACGACGTGTTCCAGCCCGGATTCGCAAAAGTACTTCTCAACAAAACGGAGAGTTTGGAAGCGCTAGCTAGCCAAGATCTGCGCAAATATAGCCCAGGGTCTGCAACAGTCCTGAGCTACACGGCAGGGTCCAAACTACCTAAAGGCCCATACTTCCTAGACAAGGCAACCAGCAATCTACATCAGGCGTTCCGGCTATACGACGACGTTGCTGGTGCGTTCAGCGAAGCTTTGCTGGGCAACAATGACGGCTCCTTCCAGGTTCTCTCGGCCAAGATCCCCGGCTCAGCTACGCCGACCATCGGCGTTCCCTCGCGACTGTACTATGAACCTTCAGAAGCCAAACCTCTTTCGGGTATCCGCATTGCCGTCAAGGATATCTTCTCGCTCGCAGGAGTCAAACAGTCCAACGGAAATAGGGCTTGGTATCACTTATACCCGCCCAACAATGCGACTGGGACAGCCATCTCGCGGCTCATCAAGGCTGGCGCTGTCATTGTGGGCACACAGAAGCTTTCGCAGTTTGCGACGAGCGAGGTTGCCACTGTCGACTGGGTTGACTATCATGCTCCTTTCAATCCGCGGGGAGATGGCTATCAGGATGCGTCCTCGTCGAGCTCTGGCGCTGGTGCCTCTATCGCCTCGTACAACTGGCTCGACGCCGCCGTCGGCACCGACACGGGTGGGAGCATCAGGAGCCCTGCAGGTGTCAACGGTGTCTTCGGAAACAGGGCTTCGCACGGCCTCGTTAGCCTCGACCACATCATGCCGCTTTCCGGGCCCCTGGATACCATTGGCTTCCTGGCTCGAGACCCGTTGCTCTGGGATCGCCTGCAAGCCGTGCTGTACGGCTCGAACTATTCTTCTCTTGCGGGCACGCAACCAAAGTATCCTAAAAATATCATGACAGTGACGTATCCCAACACTAGCACCGAAGCAGGCAAGCTCCTCAACAGCTTCGCGGCCTCACTGGCCAAGTTTACAGGCGGCAACGTTACCATCCTTGACGTAGCCAAGCGCTGGGCAGTGAGCGAGACGAACCCCAACGCTCATCTAAACTTTACCGACACTTTCAACATCACGTACCCGGTCCTCACTGGAAAGGGCCAGGACGATACTATCATCAAGCCCTTTTACGCCCACTACGGTGCACAGTTCGATGGGCGTCGTCCGTTTGTCAACCCATCCCCGCTGGCACGATGGGCATGGGCTGCCAACTACTCGTGGGACGAGGCCCTACAGAACAAGACTATGTTCATGAACTGGTTCAATGGACAAATCCTGCCTCCGGTCGACGACGCCTTGCAGTGCTCTTCCGGCTTCATCTTGTACGCCGGCAAAGTCGGGAGGCAGTTGCCGAGGAACCGGTACGACATCGCGCCTCCAACGCCGTTTGCGGGCTTCTCAGCGGCGCGTATGTCGGTCTTCTCGGGCTGTCCAGATTTCACCTTCCCCGTGGGCGAGGTGCCGAGCTTCAGCAGCTTGACAAACCACGACGAGAAGTTGCCCGTGGCTGTGGGGATCCTGGCGTCCAAGGGCTGCGACGGGCTACTAGCCAAGCTGGCAATTGATCTAGTGGAAGAAGGCATTTTGAAAGTGCCGCAGGTTGGTGGTAGCATGAGTGGCGACCCGATATTTACCTAGTCACAGCCTCTTGTGCATCAAATGCGAGCAACAATAGGATGAAAAGCTTGTAGGTTTATATAAGTAGTAAGTGATATGCACTACTAGGCACAAGGGTTAATTATATCTGAAGATAGCTTTACTTCAAGGTATATTAATAAGATACTTAAATACTAGAGAGCTATCTAGAGTATATACATCTGTATATAGAGACAGAGGATTATGATATATTACTGTAACCCTGGGTGGTCCCTCAAGATGTCTCACCGTGATCCTGGGTGGTCCCATAATCCGTGCATTTTCTACCTATCTTATCTTTCTGACCGCCCTGGGGTCGTGGCCCGCGGCAACTGCGGTTGGTTTCGTGACATCAAGCTTGCAGTCTAATAATTGCATTATATTCACTGAAGGGATTCACTGAAGGCAGGTACTGATTTAAGCCTGCTTTTGAGATAAACGACTTAAGCACATGCTTGAACTAAAGGGGTGCCAGTTTTTAAGCTGTCTACTCTGATGAGCCTGCGACTAATACCCTGAATATTGTACTCTATGAGCAAAGATGTTGTCGCAAGAACTATGTCTGAACCTTGCTGTTCCTCTCGAAATTAGAGGCGAGGTTGCCCTTGTTTGGTGTCGCTGTCACCGAATCCTCGATTGTCACACACTAGAGCTAGAACGTTTCATTATCAGAGCTAGATGCCAAACTACTACGCCAATAGCTGCTCAGATAATCGCTATATACAGCATACGTACCTGACATAGGGACAGTCCCCACATAGTATTAACAATCAGGTCTAGTGCCAGTCTTTAGGTGGCTAACTTCTTCTGCAAGTATACATGATGGCCTTTCCAGTTTAGTTTCCGGTCTAGGACAACTCCCAGCAGCTTCACCTCAGCTACAACCCAGACTGTTACATTATTCTCTAGGGCCAATAGCGTTCTGTCCCAGCTACAGCCTCTAGTGAAGTAGATCACCTAGTACTTTACTGGCACGAATTTCATTCTAAAGCGACAGGCCCAGTCTGTACACACAGCGTGACCCTGTTGCAGGTAGGTGGTTGTCTCCTGAGTTATCTTCCCGAATCCTAGGATCTTAGTGTCGTCTGCAAACCCACATGTCATGATCCCTAGTACTTCACACAGCTCGTCATAAAGTACTGACGTATATAGGATGAAGAGGATAGGTGAGAGGGACAAGCCCTGGGGCACCCCGGCCGTTATCCGGCAGGCACTGGTTTCCTGCTTGTCGAAGCAGACTGTTATGCTCCTGTCCTTTAGAAAGCTCTAGATGAGTCTAACAAGCCATCCAGAGAACCCCTTACTCCTTAGAACCTCTAGAAGTCAGAGGTGGCAGACAGCATCGAAGGCCCCGCTGATGTCCAGTGCCAGTAGTGAGGCGATCCCGTTCTCAGCCCATGCCGTATGCATTTGATCGACCAGCATGTGGAGGGCAGTCTCAGTCGACCTCGATTGGCGATTCCCCATTTGTTCGTCCGGTAGGAGGGAGTTCTTCTCTGCTGCCGCTGCGATCCTTGACGCCAGTAACGCCACCTTGATAGACCATCCGTCTTTCCAATTTTCCCGGAACGCGAGGTAGGCCTCGTCCTCACAGCTCCCACCCACATGAGGACGTCACCGAGCACTTTGCTGGTCTTCAAGAGCTGTTGATCGCTGAACCGAGGTCCCACGAGAGACAGGCCAATGGGCATCCCGTTAGCTCCCACAAACGCGGGAAGATTGATGACAGGCATATGGAATCCCTGTAACAAATTAGCAAGAAGAGGCTTCAAAAATAGAAAAGACACATTAACTTGCCGTCCACATAGTATTAAAAGTTGCGCTGCCCATATCATCGAGCCCGAGTGGAGCTTCGTCCACAGCGCTGGGTGCAATAATGATCGAGTAGTCCTTTGCAACATCGTTTATCGCGCGACGCATCGAGGCGTACGTATCGCAAGCTTCGGTCCTCTGCTTGTTGGTGACGTTGGAAGTATTCTCGACAATACCACGGATTTGTGGAGCCAATTTCTCCTTGCCCACTCGATATTCCCTGAGAAACATGGTCCGAGCCTCCGAAAGCGTGATCACCTTTTGGACATTCTTCAAGGTGGCAAGGTCGGTAGCTTCCGGTGGAAAAGAGACGTCTTCTACTTTGAAGCCTTCGCTGGTTAGAATGCTATTGGTCGTCTCCATGGCGGATCGCGTTCCCGGTCCTGCCGAGTCCCACATAGGAGTCTTCATTAGGGCCACTGAAAGCTCTTCTAACGGTATGTCACTAGGAGTGCTGTCATCCTGGACACCAAAGACATCGGCAAGTAATTGCAGATCCTCAACACTGCGCGCGAAGAAGCCGAAGGTATCGAAGGTAGGGGCGAATGCCTTTTGGCCCTCGGTGGAGATGACATCATAGGTTGGTTTCATGGCGTAGACTCCCGTAAACGACGCCGGGCGGATGATACTTCCTCCAGTCTGCGCTCCGAGACTGAGCGTAACTTGGAGGTCAGCCACCGCAGCCGCTGATCCGCAAGAAGATCCTCCAGGAGTGCGATTTGGATCGTGCGGATTCGTTGTTTCAGGTCCAGAATTTGTCACGGCAAACTCGGTCGTGGTTGTTTTGCCTGCGATGGGCAAGGTCAACTTCCCTAACTAGTCAGCGAACGAAGAGCATGGGAGACGACAAACCAAATATCAGAGCTCCAGCAGCTCGCAGGATGGCGACTGCCGAGGAGTCAACGTCAGATCGGTGCCCTTTGTATATAGGAGAGCCAAATTGTGTGGGCATATCTGCGGTAATATTAACAAGATGGAGTACGAGAATCAATTGAAATCATACGGCACCTTTGGTGTTCATGATGTCCTTAACACCGATTGCGATTCCATGCAGAGGCCCTCTTCGATCAGTGGGGACCTGGTCTAGAGCTCGTGCCTGGCTCAACACGTAGTCGGGATCTGGTTTGTAATCAGCAATTAACTTTACTAGCGGTAGGAATAAGTTTAGTGCCCACGAACCAAGATATGCCCATGCTTTGACAGTACTGTCCCTCTCGCAGATACGGTCGAGCAGGGAGCGAGCATACACCTCGACAGTGAGTGTGTTGTTGTGGAGGAGCTCCAGCACCTGAGTGGCTGTCAGTTTATAAGGCGGTGACATGGTGTTTGATGATAGTTGCTTGTCCCAGACCGCCAAGCGATCGAGACGAGGTTGGTTTTGGAGGGCGCTGTCGCAGAATTGAGGAAGCGAATAGGCCGACTCTCGGTCATTGAGTTGAGCTCTGGTGTAGAATTGAGAAAAAAAAGCGAGGAGGTACAGAAAGCAGGACAGCATAGCGGGGTAAGGGGCACCGGGGGGGGCGGGGGGGGGGGGGGGGGGGGGGGG